CCAAAACCCCAAAACCCCAAAACCCCAAAACCCCAAAACCCCAAAACCCCATGGTTACAAAATCACATTATTTGAAGCACTTTAAGATATAAGTATAGTGAAGTTAATATATATAAATTAGCTCTGATTTTGATAGTAAGATATTTTCTACTTACTCAATTTTAATAATTTTATTAATGATTAGTTAATCGTAAAAGTCAGCAAAGAAAAGCTTTGCAGACATAGATTTCTAGAATTTTGATGCGAATGAAGAGTCAACTTTAATCTAAAGAATAGTTCTGCTAGAAGTATCTCTAGTCAAGTGCATTCTTGTTGTGCCTATTCTCTCCTTGATTACGGCGTTCTTCTTCTTGCTATTTCTGTATTGGTATCCGATACTGAGATTCAAGTTCTTTTACTCTCTTTCAACATTAGAAAGAGCTGAATATCTTGCTATCTTCAGAAATGGTAGGTTTTATCAGAATTTACATTCTTAGAGGACAAGGTTGAGATGGTGAAGCTAAATAAAAGAGACAAGAATTTAGAAGTGAAATCTAATAAAGAAATAAGATAGCAAGGCATTTAAAATTCTGAGTTATTGATTGTAAGTGGATCAGTTTTTTCAGTTTTAAAGATGGCGAGATTTATCAATAGATCATAAACATCCCATTTCAAATGTCAAACCTCTAACTTTAAATGTAGACTTTTCGATACAGATTTATTGAGTTTATCTATGAAGCAGCTAGTCACCTTTTCAAGCCAGTACTCTTTGAATGCGAGCTACCTTACAAAGTAATTCACCAGGACCTGACCAGTGGTGTTTAATCTGCCCTTGAAATTAAAGAAAAATAAATTAAATTTGGCAAGTGCGATATTGAGATCCCTAATAAAACTATTCCAGAATTCCTTATAACTGAGATTCTCAACCCTTTTTACATCTTCCAAGTAAGTTACATCTTAGTCTTATACTGTTAGATCTATAGTGCAGCTGTGTGGTATGCTGATGAATATATCTACTTTGCATCTTGCATTATTTTCATCTCAATCATTACGATCATCGTCACCTTAGTTGATTCTAAGAGAAATCTCAATGATATATAGCGAAGAGCTCATTATGAGTGCAAGGTTAATGTTATTAGGGATGGGAATTTCCAGAAACCTATTGAAATTATGAGTGGGGGTTTGGTGCCTGGAGACATCATTGAAATCCCAGAATATTGTGTCATCCCTTGCGATGTTATATTGCTTAGTGGTACAGTCGTTATGAATGAAAGCATGCTTACCGGTGAGTCTGTTCCTGCTATTAAAAACCCTATTCCAATGACAAATGATGTTTATAACTTTATCAATGACCAAAAGTACACTCTCTACAGTGGAACTCAAGTCATTTAGACTCGTAAGATTGGTGTAAAGCCAGTATTAGGACTTGTGATAAAAACCGGCTTCATGACTACTAAAGGAGGACTTATAAGAGATATCCTATATCCTAGACCAAACAGATTTTCTTTCTACAGAGACTCGCTTCTCTACATCTTAGTATTCTTTTTCCTAGCTATTATAGGTTACTGCAGTGCTATCAAGGCGCTTCAAGATGATGAGTACGAGCCGAAGGACTTTGTTTTAAACTTTTTGGATTGTATTACTGTCACAGTACCCCCCATATTGGCTACAGTCATGACTGTTGGAACAGGCTTCTCAATGATGAGACTGAGAAGATTAAAGATATACTGCATCTCACCACCCAGAGTCAATGTCTCAGGGAGAGTCAGCATTATGGTTTTGGACAAAACTGGGACATTGACAGAGGATGGACTATAGGTGCTAGGATTCAGGTCTTGTCACATATCCACTGATAATCAAAAATAGATTTTCACTAAATTTCATGACAATTCAGAATATCTTAAACTAGAGCATAAGTAATGGCAAAATTCTGTAGAATATGAGAAGATCTAGAATGATTTGCAAGTCAAGTATCTCGAGACTATGGCTTTATGTCACTAGATTACTTATGTGAAAAACGAATTGATTGGAGACCCAATGGATGTGAGAATGTTCGAGGCAATTAACTTTGAATTGGATGAAAACGTATCTGGTGAGAGAAATGTCCTTGCCTTTGTAAAGCCAGTGACTAGCAGTGGCAATGCTGTGATTGCTAAGAAAAAAGATGAAGTAGCCAAGGTAGTACCTGGAGATAAATTTTAAGAGAAGTAAAGGTACCTCAGTCTGACCAGAAGATTCGAATTCGAGAGTAAGCTTCAGAGAATGAGTGTACTCGCTAGGAATCATCTCAACAACCAGAATTATCTATTTCTCAAGGGTTCACCAGAGAAGGTGAAGGAACTGTCAAGGAGAGACAGCATTCCCAGCAACTATGACAGCATTCTGGAAGACTATACCTAAAGAGGCTACAGAGTTATAGCTCTAGCCTATAGACAAGTCAATATACCGACAGATGATTTGCTTACTATTACTAGAGACAAAGTCGAGGATAATTTAACATTTGTCGGATTTTTGATCATGTAAAACAAGTTAAAAGCAGCAACTATTCCAACTTTGAATATATTAAACAAATCCAAAGTCAGATGCATCATGGCTACTGGAGATAACATGCTCACTGCTCTTTCAGTCGGCCGGAAATGTTAACTTCTCACTGAAGAAGAGACTGTCTTCTTAGGTGACATAGTTGAACAAGATGGGATTACTGGTCTGTTCTGGAAAGTATCAGCTGAGTCAGAAGGAGAGGTAAAGGACAATTAGATGGACCAGGATAGAACTGAGCTAGACATTAACAACTAGGTCTAGCCCTGGGAGAATATGGATGTGACTAAATTCTCAATCGCAGTGACTGCCAAAGCCTTCAACTATCTCAGAAATGAACCGAATCTCAGATCGATATACCTTCAAGTAATCTACAGTGGCAAGATCTTTGCCAGAATGACACCCGACGACAAGGCCTAGCTAGTCACTGAGTTGTAGAACTTCTGTAGAACTGAGGTAGGCATGTGCGGAGATGGGGCTAATGATTGTGCTGCTCTCAAGACAGCTGATAGTGGTATCTCCCTCTCCAGTTCAGATGCCTCAATTGCTGCTCCTTTCTCAAGTTAAATTCAAGATATTTCTAGCGTTGTTGAATTACTAAAAGAAGGCAGATCAGCTTTGGTAACCTCCTTCTAAATCTTTAAGTTTGTTGGTCTCTATGCCATGATTCAATACATGAATGTGATTTTGCTCTATCACTCAGGTTCAGATCTTGGAGATTTCCAATTCCTCTGGCAAGATCTTTTTATAGCCCTCCCTCTTTGCTACTTTATGGGATTAACAGAACCATGGCCTGAACTTAATGATAATCTGCCAGAATATTAGCTGTTGAAGTATCCAACTATAATCTCAGTAGTAGCTGCTACTCTTATATAACTTGGCTTTGAAATTGGATTATTTGTTCATACCAGAGATGATCCTTTTAATCCTAGACCAATAGTAGAGGACGAGGAAGAATCCGTTACCTGTGACACAAATACAGTCATCTTCCAATTAGCTAGTTTCTAGTTGCTAATAACTGCAGTAGCTTTTAGTGTGAGTAAGCCATTTAGAAAGCCAATCTACACAAATATAACTTTTTGTGTATACCTCTTTATAGTTACTTTCTTTTCATTCTACTTCATATTGATCAATGATTAATGGGTCAATGATATCTTCGAAGTAAGTTAATTCCTCTCTTTAAATTATTTTTGTTTAGTTATTTGTGATTCCAGAGTCGTTCAGATACAAAATGCTTATGATAATATTTGGAGATGCCATAGCCACCTATATGTTTGAGAACTTCGTGGTTAGATATCTCTAGAGATTTGAATAGAAAAGACAAGAAAGAATCAAGAATGAACAGATGCTTGAAGATATTTCATAGGCTACTAGATTACTAGAAAACTTTAAGGAACCTATAATGCATCCTGATAAGGCTTTGGTATCTAAGGATTACGATAAAGAAAATGTAAGTGATGAAGATGAAAAGCCACCAGTTCTGGATGTGAGTGTAAACAACAAACCATCAATATCAAAAGCTCAGCACCTCTAATCTCCCACAAAGAATTAGACATGATGATTACTTTTGATTCGTCTCCATTAAGTGATTTAAAGAGATCCTTGGGAATTTTATAGATACTTTTCAAGAGAATTTCAATTGATATAACTCAAATTTTAATATTTATTTTACTTACAATTTTTACTTTAGTTCTGCAATTTAAAACTTTAGGGGTTTTGGGGTTTTGGGGTTTTGGGG